GAAAATGATTTATTGGCGACATACAAGTGCATATGGCTTGAATTCAATGTGTGATTGTAATGCAGTTTCATTATTGGGAGCTCATTTAAAATTCAAATTATTATTTCGCTTCGTCGTTTGTCTTTTGACCGTAATCCAAATAAGCAACAAAATGCATGATTATATTGTGGATTTAAGGAGGTACAGCATATTTATAATGATGCTTAAACAGTTACCTTTGAAATTAGTACAGGAAAAGATTAAATACTTCTTTTTCATTGGAACATATTCTGCACCTGAATTATATGGGTTTTTACTAAGCATATTACCTAACTTTTTAAAAATTCAAAACAGATTCGTACCGTTAATGTTTGAGAAAAATATATAGACATACTGTGAATAAGTCAACTTTAGAAAAAGTATTTAATTCTAAGTCAACCTCTTGTACGGAATACAGTGTTGTTTACTGTGGGTACTTGCCAGTGAAGACTTCAGATAATGATATTTTAGTAAACGCACGTATCACTGTAACGCGCTGATAAACCCCGCATTGAAATTCCAAGAAATTCTGCCGATACTAATTTATGTTATATGGTTGGCATAACTTGCCCCTTAGTAAGGAGACTTTCCGATTCCTCTGCTGATTTTTTGGTATGAATACGCAACTACAAGCCAGACAAAAGTAAAATACAATCATTCTTCTTAACCTAACACTAGTCAGGACAACCGATGCTGCGGGCACTGACCCCCGTGGAACCAGATTTAAACTTTTGGCTAGATATTGCAAGTGAATCTCACGGTCCAAACAGTGTCGGATTGGCGCCGGAATTTTAATCGGCTCTTACGACAGGCATGCTTTACTTCGGGATTATTGTAACCCCTTATCCGCAGGGCGACAACCTTTTTAACAGTTAATTAAATATATTTTTTAAATTGCAAGTAACCATAAATTTATAAAACAGGACTTTAATTAAAAGAAATAATAAAAACTCTAGCCATTGGTGTTTTTTGTGCAGAAACAATATAGCAAATTAGTAAAATTGGAAGAAAGTGTTGGGAAGTATGAACTTAACAATCAAAACTTTGGCTAGAAAAATGCTATCAATTTATATTTTTACAAACAATTGATCTCCCTTTACTCGCTCACAAGCTAAATGTTCTTTTATGTGATACATAATAGGCTAAAATATATACTTCTACTCCCAATTATTTTTCCTTACTATATTTTCCGAAACGCGAAGCTGGCTTGTTACTGGAAAAAGCTCTATGATATAAATTCTGAAAGAATAATAGAAATAGGGAAAGAGTTCAACAACCTCCTTATAAAGTGAATTTAGTAAAATTTAACAGATTTCTATGTCTGATATTTGCAGTCTTAAAATAATAAACGGGTAATTACTCTAATAGTTATGTACATACACCATTGATAAAATGTAACCAAAGACTCAAGACTTCACATGATTTTTTATCATCGGACAAAACTAATTAAATAATTAGAAATCATTTATGAACAATTTTGAAAGAGCTGGGTGCGAAAAATCAGGTCACCCACATTTTACCAAGCCTTTATGACAAAAATAAACTGAAGTTGAGAATTAACTGAATATCAATTTAGGAGGATGACTATATACTTTTGTCAATATTGTGTAACATACACGTCGAGTACAGAGTGTACGTTTTTATTGATTATTAGATTGAAGTTCAATTTATTAGAGGAAGAAAATTTTTCAGCAAATTTAAATCCGCAAATGATGTAACGGAGAAGTAAAGAAAAAATTGCCATTAAATAGTCGATAATATGGTCCAGACATTAACACGTTCTAAAAGGGCAAATTAGTGGTAATGTATATATGCTACGATAATCATTACATTTATTCAACTCAACTATTTAGCATTTCTTATAATTAATTGAAAATCTAAAACTGACACGACAAAATTCAGGTAACGATTAGTGAATGCATTGCTCCGTCGAATAACTGCCTCTAATAAATAACGTGGAGTAATAAAAAATTAGGCAAGCAAAAGATCCACGCATTTCTATGGGTATATCGAGGAGTGTGAGAAAATCGCCAAATTATTTACAGAACTAAAATATTGATCATTCAAGAATTCTGTCAAGATCTGATAGGACTGAAATGAGAACAAAAACTTTTACCGAGAGAGAATTTTCTCTTAAAAGCCATTTAAAGACCTATTTGAATTAGCAGTAATATAATAAGTGTTCATTTCATAAAAAAATGTTAGAATGTAAGAAATTTTAGGAAACATTTTAAGAAAATAAAGGTCATATCAATAAAATA